GCTGTTGATGCTTCCAGGCTTGAGATGACGGTACCAATCGAATGTAGGCCCGCGAAGGGTGCCAACGAATGACCGGACCATCAAAGGCTCGTTGTCAGAGATCACTCCCAAGTGGGACTTGAAATAAATCAAGTGTTCAGTTGGGGAACCCTTCCTGTCGAACGGCGTGAAGTTGATCAGGTTGAACTTCGTCGGATACGGGATCGACTCCCACTCTCTTGGATAGGGATACGGAATACCGGTCTTCTTCATCTCTCGAGCAGACATCAGAGCGTTAATTTTGCTCTCGAGATCTTTCATCTTCTCGTCCTCGTCTGTATCATGCTTTGGACGATTTCTAATAGGAACAACGCGGCCACCCCCGACATTATCATCTTCGGTGGGACCACCCCCAGCGTTGTTATCTTTAGTAGGGCCACCCCCAGCGTTTTGGTCAGCCGGAGGATTGTCTTCATCGAGGTGTTCGTCCACATATGAATCGCTAATTGCTTGGTTAGCAATGTTATGACGGCTGGATTCACCAAGTTGATTGGACGGAGTCCGAATCTATTGGTCATGCTTTTCCTTCATCCGCATCATGGCCATTTCCAATTCGAACTTGAAGTTCTCTTTTTGCTTAGCCAAAGCATCCTCGATGATTTTGGCTATTTGCTCGGTGTTGATCATAAGTGCGTCACGGGATTATCCTGGGCTGGATACCGTATTGTCAGAAGCGACTGCAGAGTTAGCATTTGATGTTTCATCATCTGAGAATAGTCCTCTATTCATCCTCAGATAGTCCCTACGTCTAGTAGTCCCTACGCGTAGTCGAGTTAGACGATGCGATATGAGGTGGTCTGAACTAGAAGGTCGAGTCGACTTTCCCTTATCATCCATGTTAATCATGACTGTGGATTGTTTAGGTCTGACAACTTCTAGCTGGAGTCGAGACATTAGTTGGGCTATTCCCGAATTGACTCTTCTTCCTGGAGAAAAGTCGGGGGTAGAACCACTTGAAACAATCGGAGACTTTCCTTTATTGACCATGTTGATGGTAACTTTTGGGAGTTCATCATCTCGAATGACTGATCTTCTTTTGTGAAAACGCCTTGATTTGGGCTTCGACGCTTCAGTGTATATCCTTTCGAATACCGAGACCCTCTGTGGAGCGGTCTTAGGGCAGCTACACGCTGATAATACTATCCTGATAATTTTGGTACACGGACAGTGAGAGTCCGCTTCCCGGGTATTTCTCTTTCAAGATTTATTTATACCCCAGCCCGATAGTACAACTCATCGGCATGATTGCCGGAGCAGCCTATCGTGTGCTGGCACAACTTCCCAGGTATAACGTTATCATCATCAGACGAATACGTTTCGAGTTACGCCTTTGTGAGCACGAGGCCTTAACGAGCTCTTGGACTTCAATTTGCTGTCCGAGGCGTTCAGTTATAGGAGCTTTCTCATTACAGGAAGACTTCAAATTGTTGCGAAGACGTGTGCGACCCCCAGCCTGATGAGTTGCTCGGGGTTCAGTCACCGGACCCAAGCGCTCTTTAATGGGAACTTTGCCTCGATCTTCGTGTAAAGGACCTAGGCGGTTCGCCATTGTTTTCTTGCCTTTGGATATGTCCATACTGTCGCGGAGCTTCACCGGAGGTGTGGGAGCAGAAGGAGCGAGATCTGAAGTCAACGAAAGCTGGGAACCAGCTTTAGATCTGGAATCGAGCGAAAGACACGACTAGTGTCTCTTGTCGGGTAGAGGCGCTGACTTGGCCTTCAGCACCAAAACCTGCTTAGATCTTGGTGGTTTCTTGATCACCTCTTCCTGCTATAATTTTTACGCTTCTTACACGAGAATCCGTGCGTGCGCAAGTAATGCGTGACGCTTCTGAATGCGCTCTTCAAGGGTTGAACGTGTCCTTTTGACGCGGACCATTCATTCGTCGTCGGTTTGGAGAGGAAGCCACTCGCTCGTTGTTGCGATATTTGGCGTACTTTGGATTTCAGATCCGCCTCATAGCGGATTCCATCAACTGGCTCCAAAGCTTTGGCAAGTTGGCGCGTGAGGCGTTGGCGTTGGCGTTGCCTTTGACGTGCCCTCTTCGATAAAGTTAGCGCGCCTTCAGCAGTCAACTCATTAAGGGAGACGGTGTCCAGATCTGCGGCTTTGGCTTCATCGAACGTCCGCGGATCGTTGCGAAGTGCAACTGCAATAGTGGTAGTGGGGAGATCGCCTTCTTGGGTGTTTAGATCTGAAGACCAGCGGATCTTCTGGGAGGAAGAGACATTCCTGCACTTGCAAGGAGAGGCGGATCTGGAGGAGGAGGAGGAGACGTACTCCTTGAACTTCTGTTGGTCGAACTCGTATTCGACCTCTTCAGCCACGGGGATCATGATCGTCGGCTGCGGCACGACAGCCTTGGCAGCAAGGCTGTTGGCTCCCACTGTGATCGCCAGTTTGTTTGGTGTGAAAGTTAAAATCTTCATTGAGGTATTCATTACAACTTTAGTCGTTACAATGAACACAAAAAGATAGCCTTTTTATAAGACTCTTACACAATAAAAAAGAAATTACAACTCTCGTCAAAACAAACACAACGGACGTTTATCACCCGCTGTTTGCGTGGGATCTTTGCCTGTGCCGGGGACGTTAATATCTGTGGACTACCAAGAGATCAGATCAATCCGGAGTTTCGTTGATTCGCGAAGGAATCAAGAAATCGAAACAATTATCTCGGCAACAGCGAGATAATCACTCTTCTTGAGATCGCAGCTAGGTACGATCTCAAGGGAAGAAATCGGGCTATGGATCTGACGAACTCCTCTTCCTTATGTTGAAGAACTTGATCCGATCTCCTCCTCCTCTCTGAAATTCGTGGCTCTTGACTCTCCAATTCAGCAGGGCTTCACCGAGGCTCGATGTAGGCTGTCTAAAAATTACTACAGATAAATTATCCCCATCAAACACCGATGATGAAAGTTACAATCTGACGACTTCCAGAAGGCTACAATTTAAAGACTTTCATGTAGATCGAAGAAGGTTACAATCTGACGATCTTCACAACAACTGATGAAAGCTCTAATCAACAGCCTTCACAATCAACATCGTGAGTTACAATCTGACGACTTTCACATATCAAAGACCTAAAGCAAAGATTACAAAATGACGATCTTTGCAACGCTCTGACAGAAAGAGACTACAAATCGACGGTCTCTTCAAACCAAGACGCGAAAGTCCTCCCCATGTACCAGCATCAAGATGTAGCGTTTTCAGTTGTTAACGTAACTCAAGCTCGGCCAAAAACGTAGGGCAAACGCAGAATTCACACCAGAACGCGGATTTTACGTTTGACTCGTTCAAACACGAGCTGAACGGTTTCAAAACCACTTCCCATGATATGAGGGGATCACAACTCAACTTAGGAGTGATTTAAGGGGCGGTTACATCCCATTAGCCTCACAAAGGAGCGATTTTAGGGGCGGTTACACCCCTTAATCCCCTATAAATAGGAGAAAACTCAATGGAGTTAAGGGTTGGCTTTTTCGAATCTAGAGATCAGCAAAGGGCATCTCCAATTCATCCTCTTTTGGAGAATCAGAGATTGAGAGATCGGCATTCATCCTTTGGAGCATTCCTTGGAGCCTTTGGCCTTGGCTTGAGAACCGATTTTCGGTTCAAATCAACTCTCTTATAGAATTTAAACTCGTTCTGAGTTACAAAACTCGTCAAGAGATCTTAGTCAATTCAGTCACACACAAGTCAATTATTCCAGTAAAACAAGACGTTCGGATCGTCAACGAGAAGCAAACTCGACGCGAGCATTCAAGGGAAGCATCTCATCGCCACCGTGAAGAACCCAGACTTAAACAAAGGCAAGAATTCAGATCAATTCTCTTCTCTTTTATAATCAGGAAATTCGATTGTAATTGAGAGTTGAGAGAGTTGTAAACATTCTTTTTCTAAGCAGATAGAGAGAATAAAATCAAACACAATTCTTTCATCATTTTCTTATTACAAATTTTCCACAAACACTCGAGAATTCCAGATCTGTGCAAATGAAGGTCCTAGAGCTGTATTTATAGGCTTCATGACCTCTGTTTTCGGATAAGAATGACCGATTCGATCTTATCCTCAATTATAACCACTTTATCACGTTCTTGGATAACATTAGATCAGTTGGAATAAATCCAGGCAGTTAACTGTTGAAAACAGCTCAAAACGGCTTTTCTGGGCCTGCAGACAACTTAGTGTCTCGGCCCTAGCCGAGACACTTGGGGTGTCTCCGCTAAGGTCCGGGACATATTTTTGCGCGTCCCGTCTGTTTCCACCGTATCTTCGTCGTCCGAACTCGGATTTGCGCGATTCAAAGTGCGTAGAAAATCCGACGAGGAGATCTACAAGCTCCCATGGTTGAATCACATGTGGAGTAGATGGGACACGAGGGGCGCTTCGTCTTTCATAAGCGAAGCGTAGCTCCCGATCAGTTCGTATCTTTGTTATTCTGTAGTTCCGTTGCTTCACACGGTTCGTCGACTTACTTCGTGTGCTCATCGACGTCAATTAAGCTTCTGTGACTCGGATAGTGATGTTCATCGTCTTCTCTCTGCTTCGAGCTGCGTGCGAGGGCCCGTAGGTAATTTTTGACGCCTACAATTGTGGGTTGGCTTCCGAGTTGCGCAAATCGTAGTAAGCGGGGAGACTAAAATTCCCCAACAAATATTATAACTCTTGTAAACCTTTCAATTCTGTTTAGATAGATCCGTCAAAAAAAATGATAATATTAATAACTCAAGTCAAACTTTCATTTTTGTTTAGATGGATTCAGCAAAAATATTTACAATATTATAACTATTGTCCTCCTTTCAATGTTGTTTAGATGGATCCATAAAAATAAAAAAAGAACTGTTTAGATGTAACCGTATTAATAGAACACGACATTTTCAATACTATGCAGCTAACTTGCCCCTGCCTATAAATTGATATGTTCAAAACAACAGCAAACTAATTTTAGCTTCTCTCAGTATTTTTAGCAATGGCTCTTCCACTCCTATTTCTTCTTCCTCTGCTCCTCTTCTCATCTCCTGCTCTCTCTGCGGTGACTGTAACACATCTCCCTGGCTTCAATGGACCTCTCCCCTTCCATCTTGAAACTGGGTATAAATCAGTTTTTCCAATTATTTCGTTTTTTTCTGCTTTTTTTTTTTGATTAATTTGTTTTTGGTGCTGTAAACTAAAATATTATAGGTATATAAGTGTTGATGAGGTGAACGGTGTGGAGCTGTTCTATTACTTTATAGAGTCGGAGAGGAACCCTAAAGAAGACCCTCTCATACTTTGGCACAATGGAGGCCCTGGCTGCTCTGCCTTCAGTGGTCTCGCATTCGAAATTGGTATAAAACTAAGATAGATCCCTACCATTTTGATGTTAACATACGTATAATGAAATAATAACTATACTAGTTAGATCATATTCCTTTACTGTAATATGTATCTCTATTACATGTATATATGTTTGTGTATATAAATATGGATACGTACATAAATACACACATGTATATGCATGCATGTGTTCGTGTATGTTGGGGGCAGGGCCGGGGGTGGGGATTGCTATATATTTAACCTTGGGACACCTGAGTTTTATATATATCATAACAAAACCACTTTTATAACTTTCTAATAATTAGGAGACAATTCTAAAGCATGAAACATTGTGTGTGTGTGTGTTATAATTTCCTCCAACTCTCTAGTAATAATTTGGATCCTTTGTAGATATTGATTTGTTTTGTGGGGTTATCCCTAGGCTGTAAGTGTTTTCACTGTTTTTAGATTTCTCAATTATGAGAATCTAGATGTACATAACTCTCATTTTGGTTTGAATGAAATAAAATTCTCATTGACCAAAAAAAAAAAATTGGATCCTACTTCCAAGTCTCTTTTTACCCTCTCACCAAAAAAATGGACTGTTTTTTATTTTTTTTTATTTTTTATTTTTTATCTTTTATCAGTAAGTAAGTAGCGCTTCTTTTTATTAATCACATAAAACAAAGAATACAAGATTTTTGAGGCATAGGTATACCTACCATATTTACAGTAGAAGACCACTCAAAATTTTTAGTTCAGGAATATATTTATATATACATTCTTGGAAGCTCATATGTATCTCTCTAAGAAAGAATAATATCGATCCAAAGAGAAAGGAGAAACAACAAACACAACTAACAACTTCTTCACCAAATGAAAAAACTCACAAATCATACTCCATTTAAAAGTACGAGTTCGGGAAAATCTTTCCATGGTCAATATCACCCTTAACTATTTTTTAAATATTAATTACAGTATTATCCTAATCTATTCTAATTATAATATATTCTTTGAATTGGTAATTAAATCATTTATCATATTCATAATAAGACTTAACGTGTTATTGGATAAAGGAGATACGTTTGATATAATTTAAATCTTTTACTTATTTCAATTCGCAAATATATCTAAAAAATATATGCTAACCAGCACCTAAAAATTTTGGACTTTGTAAAAAATACCCCAAGTTTTTTAAATTGAAAAAACACCCCATCAAATTCAAAAAAAATTTATTTTTTTTTAAAATTAAAAATTTTATTTATTTTAATTCAGTGAAAAATTTGAAAAATATATGCTAGCTAAAAACTGAAAGTCTTTGACTTTGGAGAAAATATCTTGTAAGTTTTAAAAAATAAAAAAATACCCCTAAAAATTTAAAATTAATAAAAAACACCTTGAAAATTTTAAATCTATAAACACACTAAAAACCTACAAATAACACAAACAAACCCTAAAAATTTATAAAATTTATAATAAACACTCTAAACTTTTTACAAATTGTAAAATAGAACCCTCAAAATTATAAAATTTATAAAAATTCTGATAATTTCTAACCTAATAGTACACTGAAAATATAGGAGTTATAAATATCCCTACAAAATTTATAATTTATAAAAATATCCTTAAAGTTTCAAAAATTACAAACAAACACTCAAAATTTAAATTTTACAAAAACACCCTGAGAATTTTAAACTCATTAGTAAATTGAAAACATAGGAATTATAAATAGTCTATAAACAATTTACAATCTGTAGAAAATAAACTCATTAGTAAATTGAAAACATAGGAATTATAAATAGTCTATAAACAATTTACAATCTGTAGAAAAGGCCTATAAGTTTAAAAAATTACAAAAAGAATTATAAATAGTCTATAAACAATTTACAATCTGTAGAAAAGGCCTATAAGTTTAAAAAATTACAAAAAACTCTTTATATTTATAATTAATAAAAACACCATGAGAATTTCTAACCTATAGATACTAAAATAAATGTACAAAATTACTAACAACCCCTAGAAAATTAAAAATTTACAAAAAATATCATACTCCCTTTAAATGTATAGGTTTAGGAAAAACTTTTAATGGTCAATATTACTCATAACTTTTTAAAAAAAACATAACTAATTGAAAATCTACTAAATTTGAAATTTACAAAAAAACATGATTAAAGTTTAGTATATTACAAATTACCCCTCCAAAGTTTGAAAATTTTCAATGGTTTTTTGTACTTCCTTGATTTCAATGTAATGTTTAATAGTTTTATGTATTTGTAAATTACAAAATTTTATGGTGTTTTTTTATAATTTTTAAAACTTTTGAACGTGTTTCTTTTATCGTTTTCTAAATTTTTATTGTGTTTTTAGTGTAATGCATATATACGTCAATTAATGATGATATTAAAGAGTAAGTCATTCTTAAGGTGTATTAGGTCATAGTTAAGTGTGCACATTAGTATTCCTAGGCAATATAGTTTATATATGCAAAATTTTTTAGACAATCTATATAGTGGTTAAAAGGATTTTGACTTTGATGTACTATTTTTAATAAATTATATTTAATGTGAACCCACCATATAATTTTGACCGTTGTCATTATAATTTTAATACGTTTGATTAATTGACTATATAAGTATATAGATCATAGATTACTTTACTTTCTCGCATGAACTAATATTTGACGCTTAATAATTAAAATTATTACTTTAAATTTAATATAAAGAGGAGCTCTAATAACATTTATTTATTTATCTACAGGACAATACAATCTCAATTCCTTTTTTTTGCTTGAGATTTATGTAGGATAATCTGCGGGATAAATTTTTAAGGTGTTAGTCACATAGAACTAAAACTAGAACAAAATTTTACAGTGTTAGTTAAGTAGAACTCTAAACAAAACTAGAATTGGGATAATGATACAAAATTATCCCACCTTTTTGAATTTTTATACAAAAATGAGAGTTCTAGTCTCTCAAATTATTCCAAGTTTTAGCTTGGAACTAAGTGATAAAAAACTAGAACTAATATTTATTTTGTTATTTTTTATTTTTTATATTTTATTTTTTTCTTTACTTCTTTCCTATTATGGTTATCACCATCATTAGACCATCATTATAATAACAATTGTCAATATCTTATAGTCTAACCAAAAGTTATTTAATAATAAAAAACATTCTTGTAAGTAATTATCAATCAATAATAGTAAGTTTAAAATATATAAATAATATTTATATCTTCAAAATGCATAAATATATATTTCATGGTTATAAAAATTTATCCCACGTTATTTTATCAAAATATCCCGCTTCACAAAATTGTTCCTATTTATCCCACTAAAATATCACACTAGCAAAAAATTATTTCACTTTAACAATTATCTCATTTTGCATGAAAATGTCTCAATTGACTAACACCCCCTTAGGTAGCAGATAGCTGGACACCAAGCAGCAGTGCAATTCAAATAGGACAGTACTCTTAGTCAGCTTTAACCTCCTTGCATAAGAAAGATTTCTAGAACCCCATGATTGAATTTTGTAAGTAATTTTAGAGAGTAGGACATTGCATTCCATCTTAGATAAATCTCTTATTCACCAAATGCGGAGACCAAGATATTTAACAGGAAAAGATCCCTCCTCAAAGCCCAGGTAATAGAGTGTAGCCTGCTTCACGTTGGTCTGAACCCTCCAAAGTCTTTTCAAAAAAAAAAAAAACCCCTCCAAAGTAAATAGAGCTCGTACTAGCATTTGCACAAAGCTCCAGATACAGTATTACTAACATGATCAAGACATTATTTTTAATTAACTTACCCACTGAATAAAAAATCACTCCTTGCAAAAATTAAAAGATCATCGGCAAAGATAAGATGAGTGATTCCGAGCTTAGCACATTTAGGGTGATAGCGAAAGCCATTATTCAAACTGAGTACGTAGATCAAGAGTGAAATTGTCTCCATATATAGAACAAGCTAGTAGGAGACGTAACACAAATCATAATCCTATCCACTATCTTCAAAGGAAACCCAAACCGACAAGCACATGTTTAAGAAAGTTCCAATCTAGAGAATCAAAGGCCTTTTTTTATACCCACATTAAAATAGACTGTTTTATTGTCTCTATCGAACTTTATCCTGAACCTAATTATATTAATGTCTTCCGCTAATATTAAAGTATTTTCAGTTGGTAAACGTCAGTAACAAGAGATTCACAAAAGAAATTGGATCTTTATTAGTGGAAGGATATCATTGTTATTATATATGTACAAGAACCGGGGGAATCCCTTCGTGACCCGTGGTAAAAGAATGTATAACATTAATTATTAATTTGTTCCCTCATCTTTTAAAAACCCCATTAATGACGGTATTGAGACTAAACAACGAAGGATCTAGAAAATCGTGGTAAATCTCATCTCACGATTTGAATGTTCGTTGAGATTCGATGAGGGTGTGAGAACCAGCCTCTGTGTGTGTGTGTATTTGCAATGCAGCTCCAAAATTATTTAAGTATATGATTAATTTTACATTCTTATATAATAGTTTAATACTGATTTAATTTATGCAATTTTATTATGGAGCTCTACATAGACAATATATCTTAAACAACTATTTAGCAATTAAATTCATCCTTCAACACAATTTTATTGAGTAGTTTTCAAATTGAGGTTATGCGGAGCCTAATTTTCAGACCGGCCCAATTCACTTAAGTGATCGAATCGTCAGAACCCTAACCGCGCGGATCGCACTAATACCCTAGCTATAAAAAGGGTGATTAGGGCGCAGCTTGTAACCTATCCAGAACATAGTGGGATTTTACCTGCGGCGGCCGTGGACGTAGCTTCTCTTATCGAGAAGTGAGCCACGTAAATTCTGTGTATTCTGTAATTTGGTTTTCCTCTCTTCCCTCTCTCATCTATATTTCCAAATCACAACAGGGGTTAGAAAAACCCTAACAATAAGAGTAAGCGATTAAACTAAAAAAGAAAAATGGCATATATATTACAATTTAATTTAATGTGTATTGTCATTTGATGATTTAGAATGTTCTAGAATTATAAAGGATAAAAGGGAAGAAAGAAAATAAATGTTTCTCTTAGAAAAAAACAATTTTAATTCTATGAGTTCCTATTTTTATGCCATTATTTAGAATCTTCTAGAAATAGGAAATGAAAAGAAAGAAAAGGGAGGAAATATCCCTTTTAAACTTACGCCTCGTTTGGTACGCGGGAATGGAGTCAAGTGAGAATGGAAAGAAGGTAGGAATGGAATGGAATAGATGTGGGAATGGAATGCACATTCTCATTCTCATGTTTGGACGCGTTTAGATAATGAAACGAGAATGTCAATCTTATTCTTATTCCCACGTTTAGTATCATTTGTTCACAAGTGAGAATAAAATTTAGTTTTCTAATAGTGCCCTTACCAAAACACAAAATTTTAAAAAAATTAAAAATATTTTAAAAATGACTAAATAATTTTTTTTAGAAAAAATGTTTTATAGAAATGATATTTTTTCCTAAGAGAAATAAATTTTCATATAATAGTTATATTTTGGCACACCGTTTCGACAACAATTTCGGACTATTGGCTTACAAATTAAAAAATAATTTTCATAGAAATTATTTTTAATTATAAATAATTATAATTTCACTTTTCTAACTTCTAGTGCTACATGTCTATTATTTTTACGAGCAGCTAATGTTACTAACTTCATTGTGCGTTAGTGAAGAGAAGAATGTCTTATAAGAGATTGCATATATATAATTGGGCACTCTTCACAACATCTCCTGATAAAAGAAATTTTGAGATTTCATGTTGGGGGGGGGGGGGGGGGGGGTTATCATCCATATGTCAAAATTAATATAAACGATAGTATCTATAGTTTAAAATTTTATATGCATAAACTATCACATTCGACAAATTATTAGAAATATCCAAATTCTAATCAAAATATCCATAAAATAGTACGAGCAAAATAATTGGACAACCATCAAAGTATCAAAATATTAAGTTTTGAAATTGCAAAATGATAAACTAGTTTGTTACTCCAAAGTATATCTAGTTTATTAAAATATATTGGAACTAAGTCAAGCTCCGCGTTAATATACTTCTTAGGAACGAATGTACGATATCAGAGATTTATTAAAAAATAATATCACAATATATTGGAACTATGGCAAGGTCAGTGATATAAATTTACTTAGGAACGATGTTTGTATATTGGAACTTGGGAAAGTTATATTCATGCTTATATTTATTTATATATCTGTACTAGTAGCTTAAGATAAGTTAATTTTTTATAAAAATAATTTTTATATGGGAATTTTTATCTATTTGTATCTTTTAAGGAGGGCATAATTGGAATTTATTTGAATATTTTTATTCCCACTTAAGTGGGAATATCAATTCCTTGTTAAATGGTTGGGAATGACAATTCTCACATAAAGTGGGAATTGATAAGAAGTGAGAATTTTAATTCTAACATCTAAAAATACATCGTGTTTGGTACGCGGGAAAAAAAAAGTTGGAATTGTATTCCATTCTCACTCATTCCCGCGTACCAAACGAGCCTTAAATGTTTGGTTATCATGTCGTCATTTTTTAAGGGAAAACATAAGAAACGTGGTTATATAAGAAGGTCGTGAGTCCCACCATGTTATACACTTCGTGGAGAATTTCAAACAATCTGATGAAACTTCTCTTCACATATAAAACAATCTTAAGAGGAAGATATATCCAATAATGCATATTCAGGTACTAGATTCGCAGAACTTAAAGAGTAAGGAGTGAACCTCCGAATCCCCATCCAACTCCAAAACCACAGCCCACGCCAAAACCTGAAACAAATAATAAAAAACTAAATATTAAGAATCTAAAACTGAAAAAGAACCCCAAGAAAGAGGGGGGGAAATCCCACAAAGTACCGAATCCAACGCCGGTGCCTGTGAAGTTAGTGAGAACCATTCTTCAGGGCTAAAAGAAGCAGTCCGACTTGAAACCCTAAACAATAAATTAACATATTTCCAATTGAAATCCCAGAACTTTATCGTCAAAATGCAGTCAGGTTATCCAAAAAAAACAAAAAAAAATCTGGGAACTGAAGTAGAAGTAAATAGATATTGGGGAATTTACCAGATTTAGCTCTTGGATGGTCGTGTCGGATACTCGATATTCTGCCTTGCTCGTGGAAGGTGTCGTAATTTGGTGAATTAGCAAGGGCCCAATCAAGGATAAAACAGGGAATTTTTTTTATTTTTCTGAAATCAATGATGAGTTTGCACCGTATATTGGTAGTCAATTGCATTTCAATCCCAGTTTAAGAGTTGGAAAGTTGATCAATAGACAATAGACAAGTTTCCTCAAATTAGTCCCGCGCTTACTTTTTGGTCCAAGTTCTTAACTCTTTTTTTGTTATTGGTCAACCCTACGTGACGAAATATCACATAAACCCCCACCGGGGAGGGGGGAAAACCAACTACATTTTGACCATTATTAGATAACACTCTAGGTTTCGTCAAAAACCAGCACCGGTAGAAAAACGAGCAAATTAGACGGACTAAACTAAACGGATTTATTTTCCGTCTAGTTTGGACGAAACTAGACAGAAAATATTCCGTCTAGCTTGGTCCGTCTAGGTTGACTATTTGGAGGGATTTAAAAAAATTAATTTATAACGTTTGCCACCACGCACCCCCCAAAAAAAAAAGAAAAAGAAAAAGAAAAGAAAAGAAACCCCGACCCCAAAATAAGTTTTTTTTTCTCCTCTAGTAGGGAGTAATTTTTTTTTTAAATTTTTCCAAGAAGGGAGCAATTTTCATTACCAATGAAAAAGAAATACAGAATCCAAAACCATACCTGAGTGTACAAGATGTCTCATAAGCTAAACAGAGACTTATAAAAAATGATTCAATAGCTTGACCCGGACTGTCAAAAAACATAAACACAAAGACTCATGAAAAACTGAGTGCAAAGAGATACCTGGTAAGCTCTGATACAGCGCTCGCACAAATGATCTCAATGAAAATCTACAGCTCATTGACTAATACACTCTAAACATGAGAATGTTAAAGTATAAGTGAATATTATTGTACATGTAAAGAAATAGTCGTGTACATCTAAATCGAAACGAATCGAACATTAAGGTATTCATATTTGTATTTGTTTGAAATTATCGAATTCGAACCCGAATTTGAATATCCGCATCTGAAGTTCACAATTTTGAACTCGAATAATTAGTATTTGATAAATATTCTAAAAAATTTATTTATATTTAATTTAAATATTCCATTAGAAAACCAATTTAAGATTCCTTAAGCCTCTCAAAATTTGTGTATAGAATATAAATAGAAAATATAAGCGGGTGAAAATATAACATCATACGTGTAATAATTCAAATTATAAGCGACCAAATTTTAAATAAATATTTAAAAAGCAAACGAATTGAATATATATCTAGTTAAATTCTATTCGTTAATGAACTCGAATAATAAATATTATTCGTTTAGTGTTAAATGAACGACCTAATCGAATATGATCGAATAGTTACTCCGCCAATTAACAAACTATTTGTAAATTATTTGGTTGGTTTCCACCCCTATATACATCTTGGTTTCCAGCCTATAATAGAAAGGGATACCGCCCATTATTGGATTTTAACATGATGATATCTCAGCCACACGACCAAAAAACCCCTCTAACTACGCACTCCAATTCCCACGTGAGAAATTCTCACGTCGGAATCTCTCGTATCACCTCCCCCTCGCAATCACATGCATGATCAAGAAACCCTCGATCGCAGCTTAACTAATTAAACAATTCTGTTCCTAATTTCACTCATTATTATTTTTTGTGTTTGTTTGTTTAGATTAATTTAAGGCATAACAATATTGTTTTGTTTACACTCTCCTTATTCAGGTCCTCTAAAATTTGTGAGTAAGAAGTACGATGGGAGCATACCATCTTTGGTATACAATCGTTATGCTTGGACAAAGGTCAACTCTCTACCATAGTTTAATTAAGTGACGTCGCAATCCCTTTTTCTTTTTTTTTTATAACTATTTGAAAATTTAGGTAGCAAACGTTATCTTTCTCGACTCTCCCGTTGGAACTGGATTCTCGTTCTCGAGGAATCCTGAAGGCTACGTGGTTGATGACACGATTACATCAAAACAAGCCTACGAGTTTCTGAGAAAGGTATTATCACGTCTTGTGATCGATCAGGTTTCGTTGAGCTAGCAGGACATTGATTTATTAATTAATGCATATATACTGTACGTCACAGTGGCTTGTCGAACATCCGCGGTTCATCTCCAGTCATCTCTATTTAGCTGGCGATTCATTTGGAGGAAAAATTGTTCCTATCGTTGCTAGCATAGTTGCAAAAGGTAAAGCCCGTCACATTTAATGCAAAAAAGTTTACACAAATCTATCTTCTTCCTTTTTTAGCTATGAGGACTTCACTGGTAATGGAAAGAAATGATTTCAATCTTTGCTGGTTTGTTTCGCCAGTTTGATAAGAATAGAAGTTACGGTTCTGACGACATTCTGTGTGGACAACAGGTATTGAAGATGGCCACCGTCCGCTCGTGAACCTCAAGGTGTGTACTTAGCACGTTGCAAAAAATTACACAGTCTTGATTTTTATTGTCTTGATTTTTATTGTTGAAAATGTTGGTCTTGAGAGTGGAGACCCAAACCTAGAATCAAAATCAACAACCATATGAAATTAAGCTAGCAAGACAGACTCCACCACACCCTGGTGTGGTGTCTACCACACCCATGTGGCAAAATCTGTCCTGTCTGCCATGGGTGTGGTGCAGGGTGTGGTAGAATCTGCCATGTCTGACATGGGTGTGGTGTCTGTCACACCCTGGTTTGGCAGAATCTGTCATGTCTGTCATGGGTGTATTAATTTTCGGATCCAAGTACAGTCTATTCTTCTAAATGAGAATTCTGTTTTGGATCCAACTACAGTATTCTTCTAAATGAGAATAACATAGATGTGAGTATTAATTTTCGGATCCCAGTACTACTTATTTGATTACCATTAAAAAAAATAAAAAATAAATCATTGTGGAGGGCCACGGCCCCTACTAGCCCCTCTGTCTTCATCCTTGACTGCTAAGAAGTTTAGAAATCGTTTCTTTTTATTTTTTAGCAATGAAAATATTACACTTTCGGTGCTAATCATGTGAACCTAAAACGCACCAAGAACATAAATTTCAATGATATGGTTCTATGTCTTGTATGAAAAAGTGCTAATAACAAGCAATATCTCATTTGAAACTACTTGCATTGAACGAGCCTGGAATGGTGTTAAGAGTATAAAATTATAAGTCTCTATCCTCGCCTTAATTTTGGAGTTTTGGTGTAGTGGAAGAGATTTTAAATGACATCGAACGACCTAAATTCAAGTACTTTTGGTCACAAATTCCTAAGATAAATTAAAAAAAAAACCACTATGTAAGTCCAGGTTTGTTCACATGAAAGTATGCTCAACTTGCTAGCATGTTAGAGTATAAAATTATAATATTCAACCCTCACCGTAACTTTTGAGTTTTGGTGCTGTGGGAAGGGTCGTTTGATAGAGCGTTGATAGTGCATCCTAAATTAGGGGGCACTTTTTTGTATAAATCACATTCCAAAAAATACAATATTTAGAGGAGTTCCTTTTTTTAATATTAAGTGTTAGAGAAGGAATTTTTCATTGTATTATTACAGAAGGAAGGAGTATAACATTGTCGCGGATAACATGTTGTCAGTAAACTTTTAACAGTGATAGCAGGATTGTGGTTATCTTTACATATAGCGGTCCTAGGTTTTATATTAAATGCATGGAATAAGCGGCAAAGAGTACAAATCTTGCAAGACATCAATTACTACGGGGTGACTTCTGGCATATTCCCATTAGATGACATTTTTATAGTTCAGTTGGTATGATCAATTTCTCAATAAGCTAGATTTTAGCCAATAAAGTACTTAAAAGTAAAAGCATACATATATTTTGTTATCATTTATTGTCTGGTTTCAGGGTTATTTAGTCGGCAATCCGAGGACCGGTGAATTTGTTGATTTTAATTCTCGAGTCGCATTTGCACATGCAATGGGCATTATTTCAGATGAACTCTATGAGGTATTGTTACGTTACTAATGCAAAGAGAACTGTTTCAATAACACCTGCACCTATCAAACTCTCGAAACACGTAGTGCCCTTCATATATTAACGTGCTTTTTACTAATATAATCTTGTTTGTAGGGGTGGTAATTTATGACCCGACCCATGAACCCGGCCCGACCCGACCCGTTTATTATGGGTATGGGTCAAGTTACATGGGTCGGGTCATAAACGGGTCAACCTGAACTGACCCATTTATTAAATAGGTCAATACGGGTTGACCCGAGCTGACCCGTATAAACTGTGACTTACCCGTCGGGCGTCCAACAATTTGCTAAAAAAACCGACGAACTGACGAATTTCTCTCTCTCCTCTTGTTTGTCAGGCGATACAGAGATATTGTGAAGGAGAGGATTATAAGAATCCTAATCCCCACAACTTACCATGCAATTCAGTACTTAACAAGTTTGCGACGGTGAGCACCTTGTACGGTACGGTCTAATTCATGCCTTGTCAAGCAGGAACTCATTTCTTCAGCTGTTTGCAGTTTGAAGACGAACTAGATATGTCCTATATTTTGGATCCCAAATGTCCTATCGCGTCGCCTCGAACAGAGCGAATGTTTGGTAACAGATATTTACAGGAGGAGCATTCAGAGATCATGCTACCGCCACCAGTGGTTCCTGGATTGAAGTGTAGAGTAAGTGATGAGTTTTTTCATGATGATCAAATTGGGTTGTTTAGTACCAGTACCGCCCTTAACATGGGCCCTATTTCACGTTATCATCCTTAATTATCCGAGTTTTAGAAAACCACCCTTATGTACCTCGTTCTATCAACATATAATCACTCGCGTCCTTTTCAATTCAATTTTCCAGCCGAATAATATGTAGTTTGATTGAACATTTGCCTATTTTCAATGTATTTAGCAACTAACACTATATTGTGGCGGATGATACTTTATGTTCTTGTGATAGTGTATTCTTTGATGTTGTCGTTACATCAATGGTGCCAATGAAAAATTTCCACAGGTATGGTTACTCTAATATTTTGGTAGCTCAAAAGTCAATGTTTAATGATAAGTTAGACTGAAATAATGCATAAAGATCTCGGGTCATCAAGGGGGTAACAAAAAAGAGGGCTAAGTTAGGGATGCCTCCTTTCAAAACCACTGCCAAATATAGCATTGTACCCTTATCAATTTGATCAGGATGCAATTTTGCATTAGCACAAACGTCATCAGTTACTAATATGGCGGAATTTTTTTTTTTTTGCAGTCATATGCTTATTTTCTATCCTACTATTGGTCAAATGATTATCACACCAGAGAGGCCCTTCACGTCAAGAAGGTAATATATGAAAACATACATGATATGACGCACATTGATAAATTGCTGAAGTACTTCAACGCATTCATCTCATATAATCTTTTGAAAGATTAATTGAAATATTAAATTTTCTCCATTCCTTTTTTTTCTTTTGGGTAAATGAAAACATTCCGTTAACCAAGTGGGAAATTACGTACACACTCTCCAAGTCATCTCTGCTAATTACAAGCAATGCTTAAAAACAAAGAAACAATACCACATCAAAATTGATGATCAATTACAAATCAATAGCCCAACTCCTAATACAAGCAGAATTACACTCCTGCAAAACCCTAGCACCCACCTCAATCTTCACATGATGGACAATACCAATAAGGCTGCACGCAATCTGTCAAATTTCATACACTGTCACCTCAAGAGGACCAAAAATCACACTAGCAATCTTTGATAAGCACAAAATATTCCACAAATTCATATTCAACCTTGGCAACTGCCTCCAAATAGGGAAAGTTCAGCTATAAAATTTCTCCACGCTAAGATCATAAGACCATGGCCTTAACAAATAGGCCGTCGTCTGCTCCATAAAACTAAGCGTGTTGATCCAAGGAAGTTCAGCTATAAAACTTATAAAAAATGGGGTAAAGAACAAAATATGCGCTTTATCCATGATAAAAATGGGGGGAAGTCATAACAGAAATCTAAGTCAGGAGTTGTATGTGCTATTAAAATTGATAAGTGGTAATAAGTAGGCCAGTAGCTAACATCCACACGCAGTACATTGTATATGTGCAATTTACCCTACAACCTTATACCGTGATTTATAAACTTAACTCCACAACAAAATATTTTTTTTTACTTTTATGAAAGCAGGGAACTGTGGGAGAATGGGTTAGATGCAATAAAAGCCTCGCTTATACTCAGAATGTCCAAAGTTCAGTAGAGTATCATCTCAATGTAACCACGAAAGGATACAGAGCATTGGTATACAGGTAAAAGTACTATACGCTGCATAACGTACTGTATCTTAAATGTATGGCTATGTATTTCATCCTTTTGATCTACACAGTGGCGACCATGACATGGGTATACCATCTATCGGTACACAAGCATGGATTCGATCCCTCAACTACTCTATTGTCGATGATTGGCGCTCGTGGCATGTGGCTGACCAGATTGTTGCCGGGTACACAGTTTCTTAGTAGCAATCACATAAAAATCATTCGAGATCTCACATTATGACTTTTGATCACTAATGTTTTTCTTTTCTCTTGTTCATCAGATACACGAGGAAATACTCTCACAATTTGACATTTGCTACAGTAAAGGTGAGGTGTTTGTAGATATTGTTTTGCAAATTAAATTTGAATTTCTTATGAAGAGTTCATGTCTCTTGGTAATGCAGGATGCTGGTCACACGGCACCAGAGTACCAACCGAAGAATTGCCTGATCATGTTTAATAGGTGGATTTCTCATGACTCTCTGTGATGGAACTCCCAAGTGATTGGATGAATGAATGAGTAATTGTCGTTAATAAATTTTAAGTTCTTCTAAGAGAAACTATTGTGTGCTCTTATGTACTCTTATTTTCGTGCAAAAACAAAAACAAATAATAATTGGGATAGAAATATCCTTTCTCTTATTTATGAAGTTATTTTGTTGCTTAAATACATGAAGATTGCTCCATGTAGTAAATTATGTCTTGTAGTATCTACCTGTATGATTTGTCCCAATTTATTTTCTGTGGATTTTTAATATTCTCTTGGGAAACTAAAATATATTTTAGATGAAGATAAAACAGCAATATTCAGGAAAATACAGGCGGAAAGTTATTTGTTCTGTCCGGTCGACCGCGAGCTTTGGGGCGGTCGACCGGAAATGTGCACAGCCTCAGGGAGTTTCTGGATTTCAATTCGGTCGACCGCGAAGTCTTCAGCGGTCGACAGCCGACCCTGTAATTGATTTATTGTGATTTGGACGTTCTGTCCGGTCGACGGCGGCGTCAAGTGCGGTCAATCGGACGTCGAGTTCGGGCCTAGGCTTTATTTCCTGTTCTGATTTGGTTTGTGTTTTGATATATATTGAAACACGATTTTAGGGTTTGGTTTATCAGAGAATAGAGAGTATTCTGAGCACTTTGAGAGGGAGAACTTGTGAGCGAGTTGAGAGATCATTAGTTAGGGTTTGTTCGGGTGTTTGAGTGATTGTAAGCCTTTTGTACTCTCCTCGAAATAGTTAAATCTCCCTATTCTCCCCGTGTTCGTAGGCAAATTACCGAACCACGTATATCTCTATGTTTTCGATTGTTTTATCGTATTTGATTGGATTGTGCTCGAGTTTGGTTTGTTAATCTTCTCTCGTGGCTTGCGGACTTGTTTGGTTGTCGAGCTCGCTTCCGCACAACGCGCAACAGAACTAAGTTATAGATGTTCTTTACAATTAAGAATAATGAACCGTCTTAAATTAAAGTTTAATTTTTAATTTTTATTTAAAACAAAGTTAAAAAAATTGTATTTTAAGTAGAATATATGCAACGACTACCCATATGGATGGCTAGCTAAGAGCCACTCTTTTTTATATGGGTAAACAAATGAGGAGAGAATAGAGAGTATTCTGAGCACTTTGAGAGGGAGAACTTGTGAGCGAGTTGAGAGATCATTGGTTAGGATTTGTTCGAGTGTTTGAGTGGTTATAATCCTTTGTACTCTCCTCAAAATAGTGAAATGTCCATATCCTCTCCCCGTGGACGTAGTCAAATTACCGAACCACGTATATTTCTGTGTTTGCGTTTGATTTTTCGTATTTGTTTGGATTGTGCTCGAGTTTGGTTTGTTAATCTTCTCACGTGGCTCGCGGACTCGTTTGGTTGTCGAGCACGCTTCTGCACGGTACGCAACAATTGGTATCAGAATCTAGGGTTTCAGATCTAGAGTTTTGCATTAGGTGGAGGAAGGTTCTTTGGTTGAAGCTTGGTTCTTGGAATTTTAGGCTTCGGTGGAGATAGCGTTGTGGAGTTATTGTTAAAGATTTCGCTTTCCTCGTGTGGTTAGGAGATCCATTTGGAACCCAATTTAGGGTTCAATTGGGTAACTTCTAAATTCTATCAAGTTTGAATTTTTTTCTCTATAATTTGAAGTTTGTGAGTATGGGTGAAGAAGTTGGTGAAAACAGCAATATGGAGGGTACAGTTCAACTTGGTTTTCAGTACACTAAAATTAATATGGTTAAATATGATGGTAATATCAATTTTGGTTTGTGGATAAGCTCCATACAGGATGCGCTCAATGCTCAGAATTTCGAGGAGACCATCATGGTCCATGAGAGGCCACCAAAATATGAAGAGGCGATATGAGAAAAGATGAATAGGAATACTTGTGGGGTGATTAGGTCCTGTTTAGAATAGGAGCTAAAGTATGATGTGATTGGGGTGACGTCTACAATAAAAATGTGGGAGATTCTCAACAATAAGTACCTTATGAAGAGTGTTGAGAACTGTTTGCACTTGCTGTGAAGATTATTTAGATTTTAGATGTCCTAGGGTACCTCGCTTGCAGTTTATGTGAACAACTATACGACGTTATTGTCGGACTTGGCGAATGTGGATGAGAAGATCATGGATAAGTACAAGGCTATTATTCTTTTGGCTCCTTAGCAGATGAGGAGTATGATACCTTCATGCTTACTTTGTTGAACGGGAGATCTTCTATCACATATAGTGAAGTTACTAATGTTTTGACGAACTATGATTTGAGGAGGAAGGATAAGGAGACTTCTCGCGCTAGTACTTCAGGAGAGGCCTTGTCGATGAGAGGTAGAAGCCCATATCTGAGAGGTGGTAATAGGAGCAGGTCGAAGTCTAGAGGTCATCACCAGTTAGCTAAGAACCAGTGTGTGTTCTGCAAGGAACAGAGACATTGGAAGAGAGACTGTGTGAAGCTCAAGGAGAAGGAGAATAATAAGAAGAAGGGCCCGAAGGCTAATGAGATAAATATTACAAAAGGCGATGATTCCGATGGTTCGATCTTTTCTCTATTGATTACTCCGGAGGTGAACTATGTGGATGCATCAGATTGGATGCTTAATTTTGACGCTAATCATGTGACTCCCAGGCGAGATTGGTTTGCATTATTTGAGAGACTTGATGGGGTGTTGTTGTCATGGGAAATGATCAATCATGTGGTATTTATGGGATAGGTATCATAAAAATTCGGATGCACGATAGAGTATTCTGTGAATTGAAAGAGGTGAGATTTGTTCCTCACAATGAAGAAAATAATTTCTGACCCAAACACCAATAACTTGTAGCATATGGAGTATTGATAATTAGATAACTTGAGCTAGAGCTTTTTTTTCAAATATCTTGGAACTTAAAAGAAATTTAAAATAAGTGGGTAGGTAGCTTCCACTTCAAAGAAAAATTTGGTTAGCAAAGAATATTCTTAATTTATAGATCATTACATGCTATATATTTTTTATGATGCTTTGTGTATTATTAATAATTTGAAGAGGGACACGGATGAGCTAATAATTTCTCCTTATAAAAACCAGTAAACACATGATATCAAATCAATAAATAACAAAAAATATGATCACATTCCATTTATAATATTTTAAGATGAAGACTAATTCATCAACTTTAAATATAATTAGATACACGTATAATTTCGTACATATGGTTTTCAGGTTAATTTTAGAGAACCCCCTTAACTATGGTGAATGTCTTAGAAAACGCCTTCAACTATTTTAATTTGAGAAATCCTCCCTGTATATATATTATAGATAATTCTACTCAACTTTAAAAATTAGCGTGAACCCCCAAACTATAGGGGTCTCACAAACCTTCCCCTATGCCCCACCCAAATCTTTCACATTTTCTTACCAAACTTCCCTGACATCATTTCAAATTATAAAATAATTGAAAAACCCTTTTGAAAATCAACACATTCATTTATAAATAAACTCCCAACTGGTAAAAAAAAAGATCTAGATCAATTTGAATTGTTTTCCCTCTTTCTCCTCTCTTCCTCTTATTCTAAAAAATCAAAGTAATTTTTTCTATAATTTAGGGGTATTTTGATATTTTTCTTAGTCACCTACTTGTCGTGTGACATGCTAGACCTAACGGTGTTAGATTTCAATGCGTAGAGTGAGAAAGATTCATGAGGATTTCTCGAATTTTTAAACTTAAGGGGGTTATATACGATAGGCTCAAACTTGAGGGAATTTCTTAAATTAAAATAGTTGAGGAGGATTTTCTAAGACACATCCCATACTTCAAGAGGATTAAATGTGAAAAGTTCTGGGGTTACCTCAAATTTTCATAGTTGAAGGGGGGTTATCTATAGTATACTCAAACTGAGGGGGGATTCTCAAAATAAAATAGTTGACGAGGGTTTTCTAAGGTAACCCCCATTTTTTGGTGTGAGGGTTTCTACAATTAACCTGTGATCTTAATTATATAGAGGGGCTCTCCATACGAGTTTTTTCTTTAATTTCTATGTTTAGATATATGATTGTAAGATTTTTTTTTAATGATGGATAGTTACAATTTGACAAGGATTACAAAATATTTGATTATTATAAATTTCTAATTATAGATAATTTTAATTTGGTGAGGATTCTTAGGTGAATATAAGACTAGGTGTTCACATATCATCTTCTGATAAGATAGAGCGACACATAAGTATTTATGATGACACATGTTAGTTTTTTGTGAATTTATGATATGTCACATGTTAATTTTTTGTGACTTTAGGAGTTCCACCAATTTCTCTTTATATATAATGGAGGGATAACTAAGAGATTTATTAGGATTACCAAATATTCTATTACAATTTCCAACTATGCATAATTTTAATTGGATGAGGAGTTTTAGATGAAGATAGGATTAGGCATCCACAAGTCATAAGATAAAAGGAAACAACAGTTTTTGACATGAGAACCTTGAATAACAAACCATCGATATCTCTTTATATGTAAAGGAGAAATATTAATTGGATATTTTAGGGCTACTGTTGAAATTCATATTACAGCAATTAGTTTCACCTCAACTATTTAGTTTCACCTCAACTATTTAATTAGAGACCCCCCTGGATATTTCAGGGCTACTGCTAAAATTCATATTACATCAATTAGGCTAAATATCTTGGGGGCCCCCCCCCCCAAAAAAAAAAAAAAAAAACTTTGAAAATTCAAGAAAACTAATATCTCAAAATGACGCCCAACTTTGAGAATTCAAGAAAAAACCCCTTGAACTTTTCTCATTAACGTTGTGAAAACTAACATTGCTGTCACATGACAAAATAAGTGACTAAAAATGATCAAAATACCCTTCAATCATAAATTACCGAGGCTTTTTGCTTGATGAGAGAGAGGAGAGAGAGAAATCACTGTAAATTGGTTGGGTTCTTTTTTTATTGGCTGGAGATTTCTTTTGAATTGGAATGAGTTGATTCTTAAAAGGATATTTTAGTTATTTTACATTTATAATAACAACGCGAGAGGGTATAGTGAGAAAAGTATGAAAGATCAGAAAATTAACATATGTCATGTTATAAAAAGAGAAATTGCATGAATTTCTAAAAGTACAGAAAACTAACATATGTCATGTTATAAAGATACAATAAGTTGACATGTGTAATA